GTCAGTAAGGTAACGTGTGGAATATGTACCCAACACTGACCTGTACTGAGTGAACGGTCAGTAAGGTAACGTGTGAAATATGTACCCAACACTGACCTGTACTGAGTGAATGGAGCCAGGTTGGGAATCTCCAGCACCTGGGCATCTGGCTCGTTCTCTTTCTCATAGAGCACCTTCCACTCCTCATCATCACCGATGCTGCCCACCTGTGTGAGAGAAGGTCCTCGGGTCATGCTAACTAAGCTATCAGCTAGGGCCCCTGGAAAAACACCTGGGCCTTCCTCATCTCAGGGAAATGAACGGTTAATGGTTAGTTACATCGGCAAGAAATTAGTGTTTATGCTCATGTCAGCCCCTGTTCCAGCTACTTAGGACGGGATACCTCACTTTGGGCAGGCATAAGGGAGGCATAGTACTGATACCACATTGTAGGAGGGGACTATGTTCCCAAATTGGACAGTACAGTAACTGTAACTAACTTTACCGCCATAAAATTCAGTCACTGATGGCAGGAGCGTGTTAGCAATATGCTAATGGCAAAGGAAAACTTGAGTTAACTTCATTAAAAATAGACACAGTTCCCGCAGAAATACACAGCTCCTTATAAGAAATATGCCACAAATCCTGGAGCGTAGCACTTCATCTACTCATGGGAACTCCATCCAGCTCTGCTAAGAGTGGGGGTCCTCCTCAGGTGCCCGAGAAAACCCTAAAAACACCCAGATGGGTCAACTCGAGTAGGAACTTCACAAAGCCTTTGTGACAATATGACGCTTTTCCACTGGCATACAGGAAACAAGCCGTACCCGAGCCGTACCACAAAGAGAGAGTAGTTACAGCGCGGTTCCAGCTTGCTTCGGTTCTCCACTGCAGAAAGATTGGCTTGGTAAAGCCCTACCGGGTTTGGAGAGCAACAGAGACCACTGAAAGATATGCTTTTTTTTTTACTGGTCACATGGTATACATGTTGTGCTGATTTCTGCTAGCAAGTCTGTGAGAATCACCGTTGTATAACATGAAATACTAATTAGCATTAGCTTGCATACATTTCCATTACGAATCAATTCCATATAGCTGTTCTATAGTACTTTTTTTAGTAGCAGGTTGCAGATTTTCAAGTTCTGAGTTACTGGCAATGCATCAATACATCACAATGTGCAAAGCTACTGATAATGAATAATATACAGAATATGCCCTTTTTTCCTTCATAGAATCCATGCAAATTCATGTAGAACACCGATATTGGCATGCATTTTGGCCAATCAGATGGTGGTGACGTATCCAGCTTACGTTAGTCACGCATTCGTCCAGCTAGTAAGCCATGTTAGTGCAAATACAGGTCGCGTGTAGCTCACATAATGTACCATGGAAAACCTACGGCCTGGTTCTTGGTGGCAGTGGCAAAGCGCCAAGAGTTTTAGACACTTTGTCTGCTACCCATGAACAGGCAGGAGGTGGGAGGCATCTCTGATTAACAGATGAAAAGCATATTAATGGACCCATACAGGAGGCTAAGAGATCCATCACCGAACAAATTGCTTCTTCCAACAATCCACACTGTTGGCTGTTATTACCGGCAACAGCTGGAGTCTTCATGTCCCAGCTTGGTCAAAAATATGACTTAAAAGACAATATCATATGCTGGGAGCACTAGCCAGCTTCAATTGTAATCTTGTGCTGAAGTCAACATGACTAAGACTGGAGATGAAGGCTTCCGGATGGCATGGGCAGTTCTGGGGCCATTCCCAGCCACCTTGAACAGGACTTTCTGAGCCTTCCCTAGGCTGCGCTGAGATTTGGCTAGTGCATTTTGCAGGGATTGAAGGCATATAAATGATGGATGAATCTTATTGTGCAGTATGAACAGAAAATTGGAAGTCTAATGAAGCTTGCACTGAAAACACCTGAAACAGCAATGGAAGCTGGGTAAACCAGCAAGGTGAAGTCTTCATACCCTCGAGGAATCTCAAGGCTTTGAAAAGGTTGCATTTTTGTTTTTTTTTATGTTTCAGAGACTTCACGCATATTAGAGGAACAGCATAATTCCTCTAATACTGGAGATGAAGACATGCATCTACAGCAGATACGGTATAGAAGTCTCACTGCTTTTTCTGAGCTCTGCATCAGACATGCTTTAATACTGTTGGGAAATACAACAGGGCATTTGCTTTTTACTGCACATTCAGCTTATCTGTGACATTTTATTGAGGATTATACATCTTTTTCATGTTTATAAAACACCGATTCCACAGAGGTTTTTTATCTATTGTGCCTATGTGGCTGGCTCATCCTGCCTTAATCTATTAAAATCACCAATCATACTTATGGATCCTGAGTTCTGGATCTATTCATTAAATTGAGAAACATTAGGGCTCCAAAGCCAAACAGAAAAAATATGGCAAACACCGAGTTATTTATCTAGAAATAAGGACGATGCTGAAATGATGATGTATTTCAACCTGAAATTACAGCGATTTAAGCATATTCATTTCATACAATTCAGGAACAGAATTCCAGATTACCGTAATTTCGAGCAATTTTCCCCCTGACAACAAAGGCAGCATGAGCGAAAAATAAAATTATCTTGTTGCTAACATGTATACCTACTGCTATAAAACAGGCTGCATTTCAGTTAATTTCAGCACTGGTACTTATTTTTCATTCCATCTGTGTGTCTCGTAGAAATCTCAACGGGAATATTTCAAAATGCGGTTGCTGAGTTAATTCAGCCCTGACAGATAATTAAAGGTATTGCTGGTAAGGAAGGTAAGGAAAACGTGCTGTGTGTATCAGGTGGGTGAGAGGCCACCATGGGAGCGACGTGTAGTAAACGCTGCATGGCGGAAGGAGAGTCTTCGCAAAGTGCAAGGCCTCCGCATCCGTCCTGATTTGATCCGTTACTATAAGGCCAGAAGTGTTCCAAGCTGTACCATAATGTAAAATGTCAAGCAACTCAGTGAAAAGTATTATGGGATTGAAATAAATAAAGCATGTGGACACACCACGGCAAGGCAAACAACTGCGGCGAAACAAGCCTTCCCTGCGATTTTCCTGTCTCACGATATGGATTATGAGAGAGAGTGGGAAATCATATTGAATCTCTTTACTAACCTGGCCCTCAACAATCCACTTGGAGATAGAGGTTTTCCCATCGTCGCCTGCTCGGAACTTCAGAGTGGCAGAACGAGGGCTTATGTTGGAGATAACGATGTTCGACGGTGGTCCAGGAAGTTCTGTATTTAGGAAGACACACATAGGGAATGGCATTTTGAAGCCAGCAGTAATTCTTAAAGGGACAAGCAGCATCCTAAGAAGTATTACACTCCAGAAAGACATCCGGCCACCTGTTATTATACGTCTATAAGTACGCGATCACACAACACTCCTTTCAGAGCTGACTGCTTAATTATTGTTTATCACTATGAGGCAGCAGCTAAGCGAATCGGAATCAGGACACACCTGCTAGCCTTACATCTCCCCGAAGGTCCGCGGCCCCCGCCGTCTCTCACACCCCTCACAATTTACAGTGTATCACCCATGGCTGCGGCCTGGCATTTATCCACAGAGACGCATCCATCATTTCACACTGACAAACAGTGTGCCTCCGAGCTGCTTAAAATGAATGCTAGTCCTCCACAGTGACTTTTGATTCATGGCCAGGCAGAAACAGGAACTTATCATCTCCCATAAAGACAATGGCAGCTTAAAAGATCATTATTCATATTTATGCTGATCCGGGCGCAAAGCTGGGGCTTGCCGTGTGCCGAACACGGCCCGACTCGCAGGCAGGGTGGTACGGAGGGCGGGTTTTGGGATAAATAGGGCTTGGGCTTTTGGTAAACAAGGGGCAGGCCAGATCTAAGGAATCGCTTGTGTCTATCGATTTAGTTTTAGCGGGAAATGCCACAGAATTCGCAGACGTTGGACTATCATTCAACGAAGACCTTTGTGCTAAAATAATGTCCCGGGCTTGTCAAAGGGGGGGTCATGTGGCAGGGAGAAAGAGAGGCTCACCTGGGGGAACTCCTGAGGAGATGGTGGAGGACGTGATGGTGCCCGTGCCGGCGTTGGTCACGGCTGCCACCTCCAGGGTGTACGTGGTGAGCGAGGTCAGGCCCGTCACCTTGTACTCGTGCGTGCTGTTCTGCAGGCCGCGCGTCTCCCGAGACGAGTTCTTCCCCGGCACCTCCCAGGATACCACATACCCTGCATCACAGGAGCAGGTCACAGGCGGAGTGCGGCCGGGGAGCGTGCGCAAACACCAGTATGAGCACAGGTACATTGGAGCGCATCTCTTCTTGGAGTCCAGGCGCAGAGGCAGCCGGTGGACCAGCAGCTTTGGAGCAACCTGTGATCAGGGCAATGGAGGGGCAAGGATCCCCTGGCAGATTCTGGGTGCCCAGAATAAGCCTTTCAATACGTGCCTGAGGTAGCATTATGCTTTGGGGGGGGGGGGGGGATTTCTAGATATGCCCCTGTATGAGTCTATGCTGCTGAGGATGGGATTAAAACCAGTAACCTTCCACTCACAGACACAGAAGCCCAACCCAATGAGCCACGCATGCTTCCACTAAATATGAAGGCACTGGGTGAAAACAGCCTTTTCATGACCCAGGCACAGCCAAGAGCCGAGAACTGATGGAAAACGAGAAATCTATACAAAATGCATCCGTCTGTTTAATTCCCGCTACAGAAATATCGATCCAATTAACATCTTCGGCCTGCGGATGTTGATGCGGAAATCCCAGCCGTAAAATAAAAAAGATAAACGATCGACGGAGGTGCCTGCCTTCAAAACGCAGACGGTCGCCCATATTTCACCTAAGAGTCTATAGAGTTAGCAAGTCAAGTTGACGTTTTCGGCAAGGTGGTGTCTCAGCATGGGCGGAGGTTGAGGGACAGAGTGCTGGACGGACCCGGGAAGGCGCGGTCGGTGCCACGCGGCCCGTGTAGCTGCTCCTGGGTCCAGAGCGTCAAACAGAGACTAATAGCTGGCAGGGGTGCTGTATAATTTGCTCTTTATCAGGACTCCATTCCCTTTTCGTCAGCAGTGTTTCCAATCGCACACTGTCCTTTCGCATCGGGACCCTCATACATCAAAGTTTGCACCGAGAGACCCGGCGAGAAGCTGGCAAGTCCAACATCCAAGGGGGGGGGGGGGGGGGGGGGGGGGGGGGGGGGGGGGGGGGGGGGGGACATGGTGGGCCGAGCTCCGAAGAATTGGAGCGGCAAAAAATGATTTTAATTTAATCTACATTCATTCTTACACGCCTCTTCCCGCTGTGGCTCACTGATTCCTCATGAGCGTGGGGGCTGCACTCCACCCAGCTTGACAACACATGTCTACAACTCTGTCACCTTCCACGGGCCGTGCAGGACATGCATGGTATGCAGGGTATGATCCCCCACAGCTGAGGAGTCTGATAATCTGGCACCTATAGACAAATGCCTGTTCAGGTCCGTCCGTTATAAATACCGTGACCCCAAAGTGACAACTGCATTTCTCCCAGTTCCCTGCCATACGGCCCACATTTTCGCTCCCTCGGATGGTCTCCAAGGACCAGATTGAGAAACACTGCACTAGGTAACAGCGTCGCCGCGACAACCCAATGAAGCATTAAACACACGCGTGCCCATTAGAGGCTACGCTACCCGGGAACGCCCGATAAATTAAAATGGAACGCCTTTCGAAACACTGACACGTCCTCTCGCTAATGCAATGACAAGCTCGATGCTGACAGATGGGCCCGGGATTCAAAAACACGCACCTGTGTACGGCCGGCTCCGTGCAGGGGCTGGCCGGAAATCAGCCACCGAATAGCTAAGAGATATTTCTGCCGAAATGCACCCATGGAGGAGAAAGGCAGGCTAACAAGATGGATGACTGATGATTAAAAGCTCATGCTACCCTGTTCATGGTACTGTAAAACACATTTTCCTTCTTAGCAGGCCTTCTATTCCGCCTAACACAGAAACAAACATATGCAGTGTACTTTGTTATATGTGTAGTTGTGGCTCAGTGGGTTAGGATTCTGCCCCTGTGATAAGAAGGTTGTCAGTTCAAATCCCATGGTCAGCACAGTGATGTCACCATTGGACAAGGTCTTTAGATAAAGGTGTCTGCTACATATGTAAAATGTACTAAGCATGTCTATCATGTGGGTTTCTATGGAGTGCATCTCTCCGTGACACAGATGAAGAGGGCACACCCGAGGTCACTGGCCATGGGAAGGAGGCGGGTCCAACCAGGAGACTGTGAGTCTCACCTGTAATGATACCGTTTCTGTCCACAGGCTCCTGCCAACTGACCCGCAGGGAGGTATCCAGAATCTCTGTGAAGCTCAGGTGACCAACTGGACCAGGCTCTACATCACAAAAATATAATAATCATCAATAAATCCCTTATGTTTCTATATACACAAAGTCATCCAAAATGTAGAGTAAGCATTTCCTCTAATTCTATATAGAGGGCCTTAAAATGCTAGTGTTTCCTTAAAGAAAGGCGTAGTCCTGATACGAAAAATAGCCAAGTACACAATGTCATTATAAGTGCACAATGTTTCTGGGGCTGTTCTGTCTTACCAAAACAACAAATCCATTACAGAGATAATTAGATACATATATATGCTGCACACATATAAGTGCATACAGTTCTTTGAACGTGTATGAAGCAAATCCGTCAATGGCAGAATTTAACAGCCACTATAAAGAGTAAATTCACATCTCCCATCAAGTTCAGCAGCTGTAAGAGGATTATCCTTTAATCAAATGAGCCATGTGATTTATAAAGGGAGACACAGGCAAAATAAAGCATTATCAGATTCAGAGAGATACTCCTGTTCCCAATCCTACTTTATGCCATTCTAAACCTCCGATAAGATACTTTTAGAGAATAATGTAAATACAGCATTCTTTGTTCTGAATATTTTGATCTTTAAAATGTACTGAAAATTAAGCTCTTTGAACAAAAAAAACCAAAGTCACACAGCATAATGAGGTATAAAGGACGAGTGAACAGCTATAAAACATCAAATGTGTTTCACGTGCATGGCAAGCAAAGGAAAACTGATGCTAATGAGCTTTTTTTTTTAGATTACTAGATTTTTTAGATTTTTTTTTAGATTACTAGGTTTCACCAAGTCTAATGGTGTTATTTTTTCTAGTAGTGCGTTATTCCCAGATGTGCTGCTCAAATTTGTTCACCGTTTGTACATCCGTTACAAAAAGTTGCCAAGCCCCCCAAATAACGGCCAACAAAGCTTAGAGCGACACGACAGAGACATAAGCCTCCCCCAGGCACCTCGAAGGCACCAGAGGTGACCTCGGCTCTGCACGTTCACCAAGACCGGAAGCGAATATGGCGAGTGGCTGGAACTCACTGTCCTCGTGCGTCTGCACCAGCTGGGGGGGGCTGCTGGGGCCGTCCCCGGGGGTGGTAAAGCAAAGCACCGACGTCATGTACCGGGTGAACTTCTTCAGGTCGGTGATGTAGCCCAGGTGACGGGCGCCGTGGAAGTCTGGGGTGATCGTCACCACAGTAACAACTTCTGGTGACTGTTCTGGCCAAGCCAAGAGCTGGAAAGAATACGAGGCAAATTTTTAAGGCAAAAGCTTAGGCATTAAGACAGAATCTTGGGGTGAGAAAATATGTATATTGCTCACATAGTCTACAGAAAGAGTGGCAGAGTGGATTTGAATCCCACCTGACTAAGCGGGTAGAGTTTACACACTGTACCCCTGCAGTCCAAAACCATGCATGCGTCTCTAACTTGCCCACTGTGTGTGTATGTATCCTAAGCCCCCCAGCCTGGGATATTCTCCCCTCTTCACCGTGACCCTGACCAGGATAAACGCTTGGAAGGCGGATATATTGCTCAACGATCTGTACCTTAATAGCACATAATGACAATGGCAGACATTTCACAGTGCAATCTACTCCACTGTACTGCCCAGAGAACATCTTCTCTCTGACAAAAGCATGCATAAAACAGCAAACATCAAGAGGATAACTCCAGGCACAACATGGAGATGTGCTTTTCATTATATCATGAGTTTATAATGTCATCCTGAATGGCTTCAATTGTAGCATCCATACTATACTTCACTAATTTATACAACTGCAAACGTTCTTCACTGTCAACAGTACACATAGCTAAAGAAATACAAGTAACTTAATGCATCAAATGTTCATAGACAGAAAGGAAATATAAAACAACTTTAGCCAAGAGTAAAATATGACTCGTTTTTTCCATGCAGTTAATGTGGTGGGACTCACAAGGAAGCTTCAATTTTGTCTTGAAGGCCACAATACTTCATGTGTCAAGGTTTCCAAGGTTACAGGCAGCTCGTCCGCCTAACATGAGTGAAGCTAACTCTCTGTTAGAGTTAAATTGAATGCTCCGAAGCCAGGACTCCAGTCTAAAGCTCTTTTACCTTTTTTTTATTCTTATCACATCTAGAAGGTTTCTGACCAGGGAAGCATTTGGGTGTCTCTAAGGAATACAGGTGTCACAAAACCGCCTTGCATGCTTTATTTAATTGTCCATCAAATGTTTTTTTTTCTTATTTTGTGAGCTACGGCTACAGTGGCTGGGGGCGCTGGGGGTAACAGATAGGATCCACGCTCTCCTGCCAGGGGGGAGAAGGCCTGACCTCAGGAGGTTCTGACACAAACAGGTCAGTCACCCTGAAGAGCGATTTCCACTGAAATCTCACTGGCAACATCGGCTGTACAGCACGTGTCTCAAACGCACCTTATAGCCTTGATTGATTCCATTAATAAACTGCTGGGGGGGAGGATTCCATGTGAACTTGACAGTGGTGGAGTTCAGAGCCTCGGCCTCGACGTCCTGGGGGGGCGCTGTTGGCACTGCAAATAAACGGATGGATGTGAATGCGAGACTCTGACACCTGCAGTATATTATACACACCCTCAGTTTCAATACATGTCACTTCATCCCTGCTTACTGGGGACAGCTGACATCGGTGAGTAGTTACACCAACACCCAGCCTGACACTCTCCCTCAGACATCCACTATAACCAAAGTCATATCAATCTTTTTATTTTGGTTTCAAGTACAGAAGAACCAAAAAGTTCCTCACTCAAAGAAGAGTTTCACGCAGCAAAGAAAGACATTGAGTCTGTAGTGAGATGCTCCTGACAGAGAACATGAAAACGACGTGACAGCAAATCAGATTGAGGCCACCAGCATCTTTCACGTGAACCTGACTGACTCAACAGCAATCAGGAAGTTAACGAGTTCTAATGGTTGCGGCCCGGTTTAAACAGCGTGACGCCTGGATCAGATCTCCTTCTGTGCCCTCACCTGAGAAGTTGTTCTTCAGTGGATTACTGAAGATACACGTTATCTATGTGTACCCGAGTGGCGTGTAAGGTAGGAAGTGCCCATGAAAGAGTTACCACAGAGGATTAGGATTTACCACAGAAGACTCTTAGTGTGACACGTCTGGTCATAACTATGCAATTCTGCAACACAATAAAAGCTATTAGAAAGTAAACATGTAGTTACACTAAGAACTCAATGATACATTCAATACATTCTCCAGCGTGTGTGAAATATGTACTTTGAAGGTTGAGTCAGTGCATTATAGTGCAAATTATAATTCTGAAAAAATTTTTCTTTATGGTTCAACATGACGTGCGATTTGGACTTATTTCCACCTAGAGCAGCTACTTAATCTTCTTATCCGCTTAATTTGTAAAAGGTAGTGAAAGTGCTCTTGAGTCATGTGGACGGTGAGGCAAAATGCACCGCAAATTTACCTCAGTGTGAAAGCGGGCCCACAAGCTTCAGAGAGAAACTTCAATAACACTGGAGACATCCCTGCCGTCTTGGTTTTGAAATGTAACATTTCCCTGCTTATTTTAAAGGGAATGGCCAGAGGAAACAGAATATCAGCTTGTAGCACAACAAGCAGTGAATTGACTGACCACAACCCATAATATCTTAATCAGCTGTGAAATTCAGAATGAGTTTTGGCTATAAACAAACCAGACGAAGTCCAAAAACTAGCCCAATGACTGCATGAGCTGCACAGATAATATTTCCATAAAGACTGTATGGTTCTTACACATAACAAGCTTATCCAAATGGTCTGGACCATACTGGCAAAGCCCGGGAAGACTGTAAGGTTCTTACTGATAAGACAAAATAGGACTGTATATCCAAAGCGTCGGCTGCCCTGTATATCCACTCAGTAATCCTCTCCAAATTATAATTATTAACAGCAACAATAACAAGAAAAAACATCAGGTTACATAAACAGACCGATAAGCAGACACAGAATATTAACTCAATCAGAATAATAATACATTTTTCATTTCTCTTGGTTTTGTAGAAAAATAATCACAATGCAGACAATCGATCATTTCGGGCTTTTCAACGCGACGGTTTATCCATTTAAATGAGAAACTTAAGGTGGGTTAATTAGGACTGGCAGCTCGTTCCGCATGTATGGTTATGACAGAAGTCATTCTTATTTAAGGGCTGTTTTCAATTAAAAAGAAAAGTTTAAGTCCGACTGCTTTCGGAGATGTAGGCTGGCCTTGGGCGTCTGTAAAGAGTTTACGCAGAAATTACGAACATTTTACAGCTTCGCTAAGTCTGGGAGAGCAGTGCTCACTTGCATGCCCTCTGGCCTCGAAGCCTTGCACCCCTTTGCGATGCGTTATTGATCTGAATGAGGATTTCTGCAAATGCTACGCCACCAATCACCCACATATTTATTACCTGGCACTTCTCGTGAGCTGACTTTCGGGTCCTATGACGCGACCGGCATCTGACGTAGACGGTAGCATGGTAAATAACAGCACAAACGGAAATGGCAACCACATTCTGCTGTACTCCTCCCTAGGCAATGTTATTAGGATGATGAATTATTAAGTTTTTTTCCCATAAACTGCACATAAATTGTATGTGGTGTGGTCGACACCACAACCGCATGGGTTAACTAGGCCCCTATTTTGCTCACCTCTACACAGTTTATGTGGGTGTAGCTGTCAAACCGAATGCCGGTATTCAAGTGGGACTAAAAATCAATAATCATTTACGCAATCCAGTGGAGAGCGGCCTGTTTAAGAGATGGTGCAGGGGGAACATTAACAAAGCGCATTTTATCAACACAGTGACAGATTAATACACACGCGGTTCAGCTACCATGCATTTCCGTAAAAACCTTATGTTAATTACGGGTATACAAAATTGCACAGGGCTTATGGAAGAAATAGGATGTGGAAGATGATTCATAACGTAACTGAAAGTCAGCCAAATTTTATAATTATTATTATTTAAAAATGTTTCTTGGAGTGTAAGGCTTTCAATGCTATCACTAGTGAACTTTTTTGAGACTTTCTTGTCACCTTGCTCACTCTTATTTAGGGCAATGGAGGAGATTTCATGAAAATTAGCACTTTCAAAACAAATCAAAGGTACAGTACTCCTCTGTGGTTCGGCACATTCAGGGGTTTGGGGATGAAATCGAACATAACCAAACATGAGATTTGCTTCAAAAATGAACTTTCTACTATTTACTAATCACAAAAAAGCAGTCCTAAAACATTCTTGTGCAAAACAAGTTTTATACTTCAGGAATGCGACCATGCACCAAAAACCCATTGTTATCAATCAACAACCCTCTCTCCTCTTATGCCGATTCAGGATAACGCAGCCATATCTGAAGCAATTTGAAATGTCATCAAAATAACATTTTCCTGCAACCGAAGGCTATCAAAAATCATCAAGACTTCCACGTTGAAATTTATAGCATTTTGACTCTTGGTAATCCCAGACCGTGATTGTATCGGATGCATCAAGAGCTTTCAGCAGTACCACTGGTGCACTTTCGCATAAAACAAATTAGACAAATTAATTGTCTCTCTTCAGTTTTGCCCCCCAAGTCAATAAATTTGCTCATCTTGGCAATAATCATTTAAATGGCCAATCAGACATGCAGTAAAATCTTCTAATGGGGTTTTATTGCTTCGGCAAACAGTGGAGGTTTATGACTGATAAAAATCCACTTCAGTGATTCATTTGGGGGGGGGGGGGGCACCAAAGTTGGGTAGGGCCCACAAACCCCGAGAGCCTTATGAGCAGCCTCTGAAGCCAGGGCTTCTACAAATAATCATTTTTATCACGAAGAAGCTTAAAATCCACCAGCGCCTGCTATTGCCCAGCTGCCCACGTGCACAGGCCCCACATGTGTGTGGAGGGCCTCACCTCCCTGTAGCGTGTACTCCATCACTGAGCGCCACACGCATGCCGCACCTCGGAGGTGAGCCTATCAGAGTGGGGCACGAGTGGCGATCCTCACCTCCCTGTAGCGTGTACTCCATCACTGAGCACCACACGCGTGCCGCACCTCGGAGGTGAGCCTATCAGAGTGGGGCACGAGTGGCGATCCTCACCTCCCTGTAGCGTGTACTCCATCACTGAGC